TAGACTTTAGTAAGGCGTTTGATACGGTCTCGCATGATATTCTTATCAATAAACTAGGTAAATACTACTTAGATGGGCTTCTATAAGGTGGGTGCATAACTGGCTGGATAACTGTACTCAGAGAGTAGTTATTAATGGTCACAATCCTACTGGAAAGGCATAACAAGTAGGGTTCCGCAGGGGTCTGTTTTGGGACCAGCTCTGTTCAATATCTTCATCAACGATTTAGATATTGGTATAGAAAGTACGCTTATTAAGTTTGTAGATGATACCAAGCTGGGAGGGGTTGCAACTAATCTGGAGGATAGGGTCATAATTCAAAATGACCTGGACAAATTGGAGAAATGGTCTGAGGTAAATAGGATGAAGTTTAATAAAGACAAATGCAAAGTGCTCCACTTAGGAAGGAACCATCAGTTCCATACATACAAGATGGGAAGCGACTGTCTGGGAAGGAGTACGGCAGAAAGGGATCTAGGGGTTATAGTGGACCACAAGTTAAATATGAGTCAGCAGTGTGATGCTGTTGCAAAGAAAGCAAACGTGAGTCTGGGATGCATTAACAGGTGTGTTGTGAGCAAGACACGAGAAGTCATTCTTCCGCTCTACTCTGCACTGGTTAGGCCTCAGTTGGAGTATTGTGTTCAATTCATGGTCCCAGAACAGTTGACCCCTTTATTAGGGATGTAAAATCCCGTTTAACTGGTTTACTCTTCATGGCCGGTTCAGACCAAGACCAGGGCCGGATTAAGGGGGGGGCTAGCCGGGCAGCTGCCCGAGGCGCCAACCTATGGGGGGTGTCTGATGGCAGCTGTAAGGGGCCACACGGCACCCCTTAGAGCTGCAATCAAGTGCTGCGCACCCGAATGCAGCTGTAGGGTGCACAGCGCGCCAGGGGGCGGAGCCACGCATGCGTTGTGTGCCCGCTGCCCAGGGCGCAGGAATGACTCGAGCCGGCCCTGACCAGGACTGCTCTGTTGAGGCTGCTAACAAAGGGGGAAAGTTCAAATGCTAAGTGCAGTGGTGGTTTTGGTGTTGTGGACACTTGTCAACTGGGATTGGAACCTTCAACAAATTTCACACTGGCCAGCACCCCCCTCCGACAGAGCAGGGTATAAAATCAGACTGTACAGTCTGACTTCTCTGTAGGCAGCACCGAGCCAGGCCAGATTCAAACAGGGCCTTTGAAACAAAATGTGATACGTCCTATTTTAAAAGAGCCAAGTTGTTCCCCTGCCCTGCCCTGAGTTTGCATAGGAACTGGTGATTTCAAAGTAAAAGGCTCCATATTCCATTCTCTGATCCCCCTGAGCCAGCCTTTCCTCCTGACCTGGCTCCAGGACACTAGGGGGAAAAAAGCTCCATATTCAGTAGTTCTGACTCCAAAAGCCAGCCAGTCCCTCTCTCAAAAAACTTGAGGCCTGAGTGGAGATGGGGACTCATGAGTGAAAGGGCTCATCTTTCCTTTCTTAACTCCAGCCTCAGCCCCTCCAATGAGGGACATACGTTGGGAGCACAAACCAGCTGCCCACTCCTGATATAGATCCTTTTTCCTCAAATACCAGCCAATGGGCTGGATCCAGTCCACCAGGGTTAGCTCCGGGCGGGCCCCCACTGCTATATTTACCTGCATGGCTGCAGGTACTGGCAATTACGGCTCCCATTGGCCACAAATCGCTGTTCCCAGTCAATGGGAGTTATGGGAAGCGGTGTCCCATACTGCTTCTCGACGCTCCCATTGGCCGAGAACACCGATTCGTGGCCAACAGGAGCTTCAATCACTGCTACCCGTGGCCATGCAGGTAAATATAATAGTGGCGGTCCACCAGGGTCTAACCCTAGTGAACTCACCACTGTGTTATTGGCCATCCCTCTTCTATACGCTATTTCCAGACCTCTAGAGAGAGGGCTTCCATTTCCCCAAGGTACTCAATTCACTTTCAATTTAAAAGACAAACAGTGGGGAGAGTGGGTACTGTGTTAGATCCCCTGGAGAGACTCACTGTTACCAGGAACCAGAGTGTAGCCAGGCACTGGTGTTCTGACTCCTCAGGAGCATCTTGACGTGCTAGATCCATGTTGGCCTTGGCTCCCCTGAGCCTCACACCAGCCCAGATCATGACTTTACCTGAGTTGGCAAGGGCCAGGGCCTTGAGGGTGACAAATTCCTCCTTCTCCACCTTCAGCTTCTTGTAGCGGCGCACCAGCTGCAGGATGGCCAGGTAGAGTTCCAGCAGCCCTGTTAGGCGCGAGTGCTCCTCATCCATGATGTAGTCTTCGGCATAGACCAGCTTGTCTTCATAGGGCAGGGAGCGGTACACGATGCCCAGGATGAGGATCTCCATCCAGGCGCTCTGCAAGAGGCTCATCTGGTCCCCCAGAGAGAGATTAGAGAAACCTGGCAAGACAAATGACAAGCAGGGTCAAACTGGGATGGGCTCCAAAGGCTGTATCCCCCCACAACTCCCCTGTTTTTCTGGGCGTCACTCCATTTCTCCAGTCCCCGCCTGCCTGCATGGGACATGGGCTCACAGAGCACATCTCCAAAGCCCATGGCAATGAGCCTCCTAGCCCAGGTGGATAGACTTGGGTTTGCGAGGCTCATGCTGGCATTTAAAAACTTGGGTAGACAGTGCTCTGAAGTTTCAGCTTGGAATGGAACTCTAACGTCCCATCCCCTTTGCTTCAGGCTTCAGAGCCTGAGCTGTTGGAGCTACACAACCATTTTTGGTGTGGGCTGGAAGGCTTGCTGCCATGGGCTATGTAGACATACCCTGTCTAGGAATTTACATGGCCCTAATCATATAGTGTCTGGCACCCCTGGAGTTCACCCATCTCTCTACTTCCCAGTTCACTCGCAGTCCTGCCTGGAATTCATTCTTCTTCCTCCCCATTTCCTTGCAGCACTGCCCGGAATACAACCCAGTCCTCAGGCAACACCGTGATCCTCGCTCCTCCTGCAGCACTGCCTGGTAGGTACCTTGTTTCTATGTTCTTCCTGCTGTATTTTCTGTAATGCAAACTATTCTCTCCACCCCAGCAAGGAGCTCTGTCCTGTCTTCGTATGACAATGGACAGAGCAGCACTCCAAAGGGAGTCAGTGGATTCTTGAGAGAAGATGCTTGCCCAAGAGTTAAGCTCACCAAAATGTCATCTCAGCTCAAATTTTCCTCCACTGTAGCAAACTGGGAGGATCAAAAGTTAAATCCATATGAAAACATGTTCCACTTCTGTACATCATGACTCCCCACACTCAACAATTCCAGATTTCTACTCAGAGCCCCACAATATCCCAAAATGCTCACAATGCCAGACAAAAACCTAAAATACCAAGAGATGGGTCAGCATGAACAAACCGAGTAGCAAGAAGGTACAGATCCCTAAACAGACATGGAGCCTGGCCCCATGAATAGAGCTCACAACGGAGGTGGGCAGAACCAAGGCAGCCCCCTCCCCTCCAAACACAGACAAAACGAACATAAACAGGATGGCACAAAGCACTGTTCACACGAAAAGAAGCGTGCGTGCACAACCACCCATATGACAGAGCTGAGATTGAGATGAGAGGCACCCTCTGCTCTAGTGTCTGAAATACAAGGGAGTATGAAAGAGATTTTGCCTGAAGTGGTGAAGCAACGAGGAAAAACTCTGCTGGGCTGTAAGAAAAAGGAGAGGTACTGCAGAGATGGCCTCAGGCTCTGTAGCAGCCTGACACTGGCTCCTGAATGGACACAAGTGCCTTGTGTCTGTCTGCAAATCCTAAACTCTGTGTGTAGTATCCCTGCCCACCATGACAGAGAGCAGAGCACGGTGTTTATACGGGGCAGCCTGTCCTGGCAATAGAGTCTCTCAGAACTGAGCAGAAGTGGGAAGGCCTGGGTATTTCTAAGCAGCAGAAACACCTGGGACTTGATGCAGCCTTCTCTCCCCTCCCTCACATCCAGGCGCCCACCTTTTTTTAAGTTTTCTCTCCTTAACTCATTCAGTGTCCTCTGCCCCTCTTCCTCCTGCAGCCTCATCTGTGTTCATTAGCCCCCGCCTCCGAGATTCTCCATCTCCATAGGCCACAAATTGTATGCAGTGAGATGCCCTTTATTCCCACAGTCTGCACTGCTCAAGTCCTGTGTCTGGGCCCAGGTAACCAGCCACTGCAATGATCATTTGATTTCTCTTGTTATCAAGTCAGCAATTAACAAAAGAGCTGGTGATTGCTGTATTGACTGACTGTAGGTTCTATTTTTCTATCAGTGCTATCTCAGCCTAAGGAAGTGGGGGTAGGAAGATGGGTTAGTCTTATTTATTTATCACTACACCATGTTTTGTGTTTGTGTTGCCAGGGGAAGCAAAGGGTGATAATGGCATGGCAGCCCTTGGACATCCAATTTCCCTTATCAGGCCCCTGAATAGAAAAGAGGCCCCAGGCCACATTAATTAACAGATACCAATCAGCTGTCACGTGGGGGTGTGTGTGTGAGGTCTGGGGGGTAGCAGTGGGTGGGAGGGAGGAATCGATAATCCATTGGGGAGGAGTGCCAGAGGGAATAAGGGAACAGCTAAAGACCACCAGGGAGAGGAGCTTGGAATAGAGAGTGAAATGAGTTAGCACTCAGCTAGGGATTCAATCTATCCACCCAATAGCATGGGGTTACCGTCGCTGTGGGAGGGAGGCTCATACATACTCCCCATTGTCACGGGCTTCTTTCCAGCTAACAATCCAGGCCTGTTCCAGGCCCTGAATATGTTTGTAGAGAAAGGACTGGCTGTGTTCTTGAGTCAGCTAGTAGGGTGTGGCTATCCTGAAGAGTTAGGTATTCATATGGGCAAGTTTGATACCCCCCTGTTCCTTCTCTTTAAAAAAAAAAAAAAAATTTATTTCTGAGACCTACCTCTTCCTTCTTCCTTAGCCCCTTCTGTTGCAGCTGGGATACAGTCCCCCTTTTACCTCAGTGTCTCAGGGCAGTAAATGGGAGAATGGCCTGAGGAGAAATGTACATCAAGTTCCTGATTTCTGATGCCTTGCTGACACTCTCCTCTGCTGCATGTGGTGTGAATGTGCTATCCCCTCTGGGAGAGAGGGGGGCTGCTTTGCAGAAAAGTTGTTATAACTTCAGTTCCCTACGTTTCTAGCCTCTCTCACTCTCTCCTAGTTGCACTCCCCACTGTGGCATTAGCCATTCATTCAACTCCAAAAAGGAAGGCTGTTCAGGACTTAAGATGCAAGCTTGGGACTTGAGGGTCCTCAGTTCAACTCCCACAGTTGCCCTGGGTCGGTCGCTTAGTCTTGTTCTGCCTCATTTCTAAAATGGGGCACTTCTCTACCTGAAAGAGCTGTTGTGACAATAAATATGGGGAAGATTTTTTTGTTTGTTTTTGCTCAACAACTTTGAGCTTGGAGTACTGGCACCTTTTTTCTTACAAAAAAAGCACTGCAAATGACAATCACCCACAGAAAGTGTTGGAAAACTGCTAGTAAGTATGCTGGATGGAAATGAATGGAGTGTGTGTATTAGATGGAGCTACGGCAGTAGTTCTCGGCCTTTCCAGACTACTGTACTCTTTCAGGAGGCTGACTTGTCTTGTGTACCCTAAGTTTCACCTCACAAAGTCAGACATAAAAAATACAACCGTGTGACAGCACGCTATTACTGACAAATCAATTACTTTTGATTTTTATGATTGACTTAAATTGTGACCCCCCACCACCACCCTGGTGAAAAACTCTAAACAGTATACAGAGCAGTATAAACAAGTCATTGGTGGCATGAAATTTTAGTTTCTATTGATTTTACTAGTACTTTTCATGTAGTCTATTCTAAACTAGGCAAATATCTAGCTGATTTGACCACCAAGAAGGCTGGGGGTGATTGGATGTCTAACATAGTGAATGCCAGTGACTAAAATAGGAACAAAACAAGTTAAAAGTTACTTAGACAAATTAGATGATCAGGACTTGATGAAATACTCAAGGAACTGACTGAGGTATATCTGAAAACTCCTAGAATACTCAAGGAGCTGACTGAAGCCAGTTTCCCCCAGCACCAGCTCCTGCTCCCCACTTGCTGCCTCTGATACAGAGGCAGCAAGTGCTGGGGGGAGGGAGGGTGGATCATGTAGTGGACTCAACTACCTGATAAACCTAGGCTATAGCTATATTTGCCCTTTTCCAATCTTCTGGAATATCTCCCGTTTCATGACTTTTTGAAGATAATTGCTAAGGGCTCAGATATTGCATCCCTCATATCCCCACATGCTGCCCTGAGCCCTCCAATCCTACTCCAAACTCACATCTCTTAAAGGTACTGTCTTATCACAACCTCCCAATCCCTTGCACTGTGCCCCCTCCTGGCAGGGGGTGATACACCAGTACCCATAATCAATTTAAGTTAATTTCACCTCTGGATCCAGTTCAGTTCAATATCTTCATCAGTTATTCAGATTATACAAGTTGCAGATGATACTAAGATGGGCGGAGTTGAGAGTGCTTTGGAGGATAGGGTTAAAATTCAAAATTATCTGGACAAACTGCAGAAATGGTCTGAGTTAAAGAGGATGAAATTGAATAAGGACAAATGCAAAGTACTCCACTTAGGAAGGAACAATCAGTTGCACATATACAAAATGGGAAAAGACTGCCTAGGAAGGAGTACTGCAGCAAGGGAGTTAGGGGTCATATATAAATAAAAGTCATCAGTGTGACACTATTGCAAAAAAAAAGCACACAATTTTGGGATGTATTAAGAGTAGTGTCATAAGCAAGACATGATTCTTCTGCTCTACTCAATGTTCATTGGGCCTCTGCTGGAGTATTGTGTCCAGTCCTGGGCACTACATTTCTGGAAAAATTGAAGAAAGTCCAGAGAAGAGAACAAAACTGATTAAAGGTCTAGAAAACATGACCTATGAGGCAGGATTGGAAAAAAATGGGTTTGTTTAGTCTGGAAACGAGTAGACTGAGAGGGAACAGGACAACCATTTTCAGGTACATAAAACGTTGTTTCAAGTAGGATGGAGAAAAATTCTTAACCTCTGAGGCTAGGACAAGAAGCAATGGGCTTAAACTGCAGCAAGGGAGGTTTAGGTTGGACATTAGGAAAAACTTCCTGCCCAACAGGGTGGTTAAACACTGGAATAAATAGCCCAGGGAGGCTGTGGAATCTCCATCTCTGGAGATATTTAAGAGCAAACACCTATCAAGGATGCTCTAGATAATATTTGGTCTAGCTATGGGCAGGGCTCGACAAATAATACAATCTACTCGCCATCAAACCTCTTCATGCCTCGATGGCACACATACCCCTGGTTGAGAACCACTGACATATGGCACCTGTGTCTCTCTTACCCACTTTGAAGATCAGTCACCACCAGAGATCTGGGAGTTAGAGCCAGATACTGATCTCAACTTTGTATAAATAAAATAATTCCATGGACCTCAATGGATGTGGACTCTGGATTTATGCTGGTGTCACTGAACTCAAGGGATGTGTCTAGACTGGCCAGTTTTTCTGGAAAATCAGCCGCTTTTCCGGAAAAACTTGCCAGCTGTCTACACTGGCCGCTTGAATTTCCGCAAAAGCACTGACGTCCTACTGTAAGAAATCAGTGCTTCTTGCGGAAATACTATGCTGCTCCCGTTCGGGCAAAAGTCCCTTTTGTGCAAAACTTTTGCGCAAAAGGGCCAGTGTAGACAGCTGAGATTTGTTTTCCGCAAAAAAGCCCCGATCGCGAAAATGGCGATCAGGGCTTTTTTGCGGGAAAGTGCGTCTAGATTGGCCACGGACGCTTTTCCGCAAAAAGTGCTTTTGTGGAAAAGCGTCCGTGCCAATCTAGACGCTCTGTTCAGAAAATGCTTTTAACAGAAAACTTTTCCGTTAAAAGCATTTCCGGAAACTCATGCCAATCTAGACGTAGCCACAGAGTTTAGGTGGAGATCTGTGGTAAGAACTAGAACCAGTAAGTGAACCTGTGCCCAGAA